GGCAGGGCTGGCGTCCACCTCCTGTCAGCACGTCTTCCGTTAGAGTCAGAAGGGACGTGGGGACGAGGAGTGGGCGGGCTGTGGCCAAGAGGGCAGGCCTCTCTGGAAAGGCCACCTTGGCCCAAGGATCTGGAAGAATAAAGGGAGTTAGCCACGCCCGGGAAGTCGGGGGGAGCAGGTTGGGAGGCAGGAACCAGCCCCCAGTCACCCCCTGCACGGCTTGCCCCAGCCTGGTGTTCTGCCTGCCCGGAGGCTCACTCACTCTCCTAGGAAGGGCGCTTGCTAAGCCGTGTAATCCATGCGTCTCCTGGCGGTGTCTCTTGCTAGACTGTGACCCTGCAGAGGACACGCGTTGTGCCCGTGATCTCCGGAATCCCGGCACACACTGTGTACAGACTCGGTGAATGTCCGTGGGCAGCAAAGAAATCCCCTCCCCAGTGTCTGCTGAGATCGGGATGGGGGCCGGGAGGGGCGTAAACTGTCCTGGGGAGATGCGCCTGTGGGCGCACGCAGGAAATTGGCCACATTCAGCTTGTTAGTTGCACTGGATGGTGTCTGCCCAAGACGTCCGTTAGATTCGTTTTTGTTGAGCCCCTGACTCCCGCCACCATCTCTGAGATCTTATTGCGTCCGGGGTGATACGGCACAGTTCTGTTTTCTTCTCGAGGGTACTCCAGGCCCCTCAGCAGTTTGTCTAAACTTTCTTCGTACCTGTCATCATACAAATGTCTTTGCAACGCGAGAGTCAAGCTCGCGTTCTCTTCTTGCCACGGCGTAGTGTCGGGGGGCTGCACAGGCTGTGAGAGCTTTTGCAATGTCTGTTTTGGGGGACATAAGAAACAAGTCGGCACAGAAGAGGAGAAAGGGGTCACCACTGTGACAGATTCTGTTTTAGGCTCAGGACCTCCGAAAAGGCTTCCTTTACAAAATGCAAGTGGGGAAAGTTGTTTCTCCTCCTCTGTGAGCTCCTGACCTCTTTCCTGTGTCTGCCTTTCAGAGATATATTGTCTTTATTTACACTGCTCCTGACCCCATTCCTTGTACTGTGAAAGGTACTGTAGATACAGGAATGTATACGCTTCTGTGCACAGTTCATACAGGAGTGGATACAATTCTGTGTACAGTTTAAGCAAAACTCTGTGTAAACCACAGTGTGCATTAAGAAAGAGCGTGGCCAGTATTTTAAAACCTGTCACCTGCAGCCTTTTTTCCACTGGTAATCACTATTTTGTAATAATCATCCTTTTATAAAAATTCATTCCCCAAGGACAGATTTTTCAACGTTTTATGGTTGTGTACTTTATATAAATGCAGTTACATTGTACATACTTTTCTGTTGGTGCTTTTTCACACGATAATGTGCCGTGAGACTCATTCACGTCAGTAGTGTAGCTGTAGGGCAATCACTTTTACCGCCATGTTATTTGCATCGACTAAAACATCCTTACTTGTCTGATCTATTGATGGATAATTTGGGTTGCTCTTAATTTTATGCTAAAATAAACAACACTGTTGTAAACATTCTTTTCCATGTCTTCCGGTGTGTACGGGTAAGATTCTCTCTAGGAGGGTGCATTAGCTGTCTGTTGCTGCATAACCAATCACTCCAAGCGTATTGGCTTAAAACAACTTTATTATCGTGCAGTCCCTGTGATCGGGGGTTCAAGAGCACCTTATCTGAGTGGTTCTGGCTCAGAGGCGCTCGTGGGGTTGCAGTCAGCATGCTGGCTACCGTCATCTGAAGGCCTGACTGGGGCGGGTGCTTCCTGGTGCCGAGGCAGGAAGCTTCATCCTTGTGGGAGCCTCTCCGTAGGTGACTTACCGCCCGGTCTTCCCAGCAGGAGTGATCCAGGAGGGAGCCAGGCTGAAGCTCCAAAGTATGTTGTTACTGCTGGTTCTCTGTTATGCTGTCTTCTCTCTCTATCTGCCTATTTGTCTGTCTGTGCTGGACGTGACTTTCAAAACTCATTTGCAGAAATAATTTGAAGTCTAGGGTGATTTTCTCTTTGGCCAAAGCTGATTGTTGTGGGCTTTGGCCAGACACCTGCTCGGGAAGGTTCGGGAGTACCTTCATACAGCTTCAGAATGTGAGATGCTTTGGGCCACCCACGTGGCTGGGAGACAGGATGGACCCCATTGGGGTCCCGGCTCACAAAGAGGGGTAGTTCAGAAGCAGCCACGGCCTCTGCTGTGTCCTGAGCATGTACTGCCTGTTGGCCACACAGCCTGTCCAGGATGTGGTTCAACATCTCTGTCCATAGTCAAGAGTAACCCCTGGGCTAAAGTGGCCCCAGGGATCAAGCTCACGTCTTTGGATTCCCTTTATTTCCTGGATTTTGGCCTGGCGATTCCTCAGATGTTATCCTGTTAGATGTCTTATGTTTCAAGATGTTTTCATTTTATCAGTTTTTAGTGGACAGGTTGATCAGAGTTGCTTAGCCCATGGTTCCCGGGGTGGGGGGGGGAAGCCTCCTGGCCCTTGTTCTTCATGTATATTTTTATTGGACATATGATCCTGTGGTCCTGTGGATAGCGGTGTCCTTCAGGCCACGGAAGGTGGTTTTCTATTGTCTTCTGACTTCGAGTTTGCTGATGAGAAGTCTGCTATCATTATTTGCATATATGAAAGTAATATTTTATCTTTTCTGGCTGCTTAAAATTCATTTTCTTTGACCTCAGTGTATTGTGTTTAAATGGTACGTCCAAGTGCAGATTGATTGAATTCTCATGAGTCTGGTGTGGTAACTTTCATCAGCCATTTTGTCTTCAGAGGATGCCTCTGTCTTATGCTCTCTGCTCTCTGTGTTTTCTGTGTCAGGGTCCATGTGGGTTGGCCTTTCTGATTGACGGTAACCTCCAAGAGTCCACCACTCGGTCCTGAATTTCTCCCTTTTACCTTTGTGCTGCACTTCGGTACTTCACACAGATCACACGGATCTTTTGGCTAATTTTTCTGCTGTGTATAAAATGCACAGCATTGAACCACTTGTTCACTGGGTTTCCAACTTAAATTGTTTACTTTTTTTATTCCTAAAAATTCTATCTGGGGCACCTGGGTGGCTGGGTCAGTTAAGCGTCTGACTCTTGATTTCGGCTCTGGTCATGATCTCACGGGTCATGGGATCGAGCCCCATACTGGGCTCCGTGCTGACGGCTCAGAGCCTGCTTGGGATTCTGTCTTCCTCTCTCTGCCCCTTCCCTGCTTGCTCTCTATCTCTCTTTCAGAATAAATAAAAATAAACTTTAAAACTAAATAAATAGATAGATAGATAAATAAATAAACTTCTGTGTGGTTCTTTTTCAATAATCTGTGTCATTCTTCAGTGTTCTTGGTCCTGCATGTACCGTCAGGCTTGGCTGTTCTTGAAATACTGTCTT